GCCGGGAAGCGCTCCCGTTTGCCTCCCCCGGCCGCCCGCGGGGACGCTAACGGTGTGTGCGGGGGTCCAGCTCGGAGCTTTTTGCCGGAAAGACAAAGCACACGGTCATCTGGAACCATCTGGGCTTTCGCTGTATCCCCGTTCTGCTGGAGCGCCTCACGGGGACAAAGAACAAGCAGGTCTGTCCAGAACATGCTTGTTTCAGGCGGTTAAAGAGAACACCTACACCGTTCACTCATTGTTAAACCGGACACGAGAGCGAAGCGGGCTCGCGGGGTATTTCTATGGAGTTACGAGCATGCTCTGCTCTGCCGCGGCAGATGTAGAACACATCGTTTATTGCCAACGTATACACCCCCATTCCCCTTACGATAGCGTTTCCACACCGCTATTGCTCTTTTCCCCAGGAGGTACCTGCGACAGACAAGAACACTAAGAACAAGCCACAACAGCATCAGCTCTTTTACTGAAAAGGTGGGTGGCTCTTAAAAGAGCCTTTGGGTCGAGGAGGTCTGGCAGAGGGCACAGAGGCAGCTTACTTGGAGCTGGTGTACTTGGTGACAGCCTTGGTGCCCTCGGACAGGGCGTGCTTGGCCAGCTCCCCCGGCAGCAGGAGCCGCACAGCCGTCTGGATCTCCCGCGAAGTGATGGTGGAGCGCTTGTTGTAGTGCGCCAGGCGAGAGGCCTCGCCGGCGATGCGCTCGAAGATGTCGTTGACGAAGGAGTTCATGATGCCCATGGCCTTGGACGAGATGCCCGTGTCGGGGTGCACCTGCTTCAGCACCTTGTACACATAGATAGAGTAGCTCTCCTTGCGGCTCTTCTTGCGCTTCTTGTCACCCTTCTTCTGCGTCTTGGTCACCGCCTTCTTGGAGCCCTTCTTCGGCGCGGGCGCGGACTTGGCCGGCTCGGGCATAACTCCTTCAGCACTGCTTACTGAAAAAGCACAATCGTGGCCTATGAACAGATGTAATCGCTCTCTTTTTATAGCATCGGTATGTAAATTACAGTTTGCCCGAGCCTTCGGTTTTATTGGCTGAGGGAGGATTATAGAATACCACCCCTCCGTACTTCATCGCCATTGGTTAGAATTCGATCCGTGTTTCCATTGGCTGTTTTCGCAATGTCACCTTCTCAGCCTATCGAAATTCGTTCCTTTGGTTGAGAAAGGATAAAAGGGCGAGTTGCGGAGGCGCTCTCGTTGCTCTACGACTTTTACGTGTTGTTGCTGAGTTGGTGTGATGTCCGGCCGCGGGAAGCAGGGCGGG